CTGCAATTATACAATATCTTATCTTCAAACATTTCTTTTTTAATTTACAAACAAGCAATCACAAATGACTTTAAAATTACTTCATTTCAAACAATTGGAATACTCCATAGATTAAACCATATGAAATTCTTCTACGTATCATACAGAATTATTTATCTGAGTAATCCAAAATTTTTTTAATTTCAGGAATAATTTTATCGAGAATCTTTACCATCGAGTAAAGTTTTACTCCGTTAACAGCAGTGCAAATTAAGAGGTTATGGTAATACGCAAAAGCGATTATAATGACAATTAATCAACTGACTTATTAATACATAAATATTCCCTCTAAAGAATTGATACGATTCATTTAAATATAATTTTATATTACTTTGTCTTATCTTGTTTGACAGTTTAAAGGCAGTTTCATAGCATGTCAGCCATGTTTAGTACCCTCCCTAGTACCTTTGTCATACTGACTTAAGCCGGTTGCGCCTCTCTGATAAATCTAGGACTAGTAATTCCAAGGACAAGCTATTTACTTTTTAAGAGACACGTATTTAATACACATATGTATAAAGCCTTGTGTCCACGATGCTAGAAATTGGTCCGAGATCTCGGAGAGAGAAAGAATTAACCAATCACATTTAAACAATTTAGTCACATGATCAATGCGATTGGTCAATTCTTTCTTCATCCGAGATCTCGGACGGATTTCTAGCATCGTGGACACTGGGCTTAACACAGTCGCAAGTATACTGCACACATATAAATATTCAATATGGCGATGGAATGTTGCAAGTTATTCCGTTCGGCGGACATGGCAGTACACGGAACATTTTTCGTGACCACTTTCAATCTACACAGTTAAGTCTCCAGTCTCCTTATTCTTACTTCATGGATTAAAATAATCGGCCGATTAAATATGGCCAACTGCAAGATTTGAAAATCATGATGTTGAAAACATCCTTTTTCTGGCGGGGCGCCGAGTTCTCATGTGCTCGACTCGCATGGCTTTTTCGCATTTGAGAGATTTGCCATTAATATAGACTTGTGCCGTTATTATCATTCTTTACAATTGCCAGAAAATTAGGTTATGTTTTCAATCTTGCAATTGGCAATTCTGAAATTATTTGACCGATTAGCTTAATTGGAGTTGGTGAAACTGGGCCCATACATCAAAATGCATAAATGAATAAGTGCATAAATGAATCAACTAATCAGAATCTTTCCTTTCCTCCCATTCCATGGAAAAGAAAAATTTTGATTGGTTGATTCCCTTGTGCACTATGTATTTTGCGTTATGCAAGAGTCTGTGCTGCGGCCATTATCTCTCGTCGCTCATCACTCATC